TTTTAATTACATTATTTGCAGAAACAATTTTTTTACGTATGTAATTATTCCAAGATTTTTGTGAGATTTTTTTACGATCTTTTGCTTGGCACATAACTGTCAAATTTCGACACTAAGCCAACAAAAAAATTATAAAAAACGCGCGCGTGTGTGTGTGTGTGTGTGTGTGTGTGTGTGCGCGTGTGTATGTGTGTGTGTGTGTGTGTGTGTGTGTGTGTGTGTGTGTGTGTGTGTGTTAAGTTATACTTCTTTAGCGTAACAAAACAAAAAACTTGAGAGACAATTACCCACTGAAGTAGTCGCTTTTAGGTGTCAGTGTGCGCGTGCATCGTAAGGCTAAGCGTCCACTAGGCACGCCGAGCCAAGTCGAATTAAATCGCAGAAAGTTGCCTCCTATATATTTACTATGAAACTTCGTCCAATAGCGACGAGCCGCGGCGTGCCGAATGGAATCAACCGCACGAATTGCTTGACAGGCGAATTTTTTCGCCGGTGCGATTCGATTCAACTCGGCGCGCCTCAGTCGATGCGGAGAAGCGGATGCGCGCCAATGTATTTTTATTAATTTCTATTTCGTTTTCTTAAGAATCTTTTTGTTTAAATAAAAATGAACGAAGAACTATTGATATCACTGGTTCAACAATATCCAGCATTGTTTAAACATGAAGATCCACATTATCACGATTTCCATCATGGACGAGCTGTTCATGACTCAAAAACGACCTATTTTGATGAAGAATTTGCGATTAATGTACAATTCGATTCGATTCTTCAGAGATGGACGCACTAGGAATAAATGCGACTCGCACCGATTCGACGCATTTCTGCTATAGGTAGTCGACGCCAGGCTTAACTCCTATAGTCTGTGGATGGACGTAAAGTAAATGTCATGGACATGGAGGAGTTTTGGCGGGAACTTGACCGACGGCGAATAGCTGCCCCTGTATTATTGTTTAAATAATGGTTTGAAGTGGATTATGATATGTAAAAGTGGTGGGATTTTGTGTATTAAGTGTCTGTGCATGTCAACTATTAGCGCGCCTTGAGATACTATTGCCACCTGACACTGACAGCTATCTGCTGTCTCAAGTTGCTGTCAAAATCTCCCAAGGGCTGCACAATGTGACGCAACAACATATTGTAAAGCAGTGTACTATCAAGGATAATAATACATTTTATCATATAAAAAAGTACTCTGTGATTGTAACGTCAGGCTCAGAAGAGCTAGAACCCAGAGCCGTAAAGCCAGTTAAAAAAAATGTAATGGAGATTTCTTTTTTGTCCTTGTAAATAAAGCTCTAATATTTTTAAATTACGCAAACGACCAGTCTTAAATAAAGAAGAAATTTTTTGGCAGATCAGGTAACTTTAAATTAATTTCGTTTAATTTAACAGATGCTGCGCGTTTATTTAACATTCAAATGTTTTCGTCTACGTCCACAAAGCTAAAACTAACATTCATCAGCAAATAAATATTACTTCCAAGAAATTTTGCTATTTAGAGTTTATCCGGAGTTAATTTAATAGTTAATGATCTATGTAAATAATTTTTGAATTGTTATTGTTGTGACCTTCAAGAGTAAGGAAGGTCATAACAATGTTTATATAATTTTGTATGTATTCTTTTGTTTTCTCAGTTGGGGTTTGTGTAATCTGTCTCGTTATTCGTTCATTGTCCTTATTTACGGTTACTGCTATATTGAAAACGCGCAGAGGTGCTAGCCTGTTATCACGGCTAATTGTCCTCTTACTATTTTTAGTATTCTGATTGAACAGTGTTCTCTTTTAATATTCAACAATCAATCTAATTATAACTAACTATATATATATATTTAAGGTAAATATTAATTTTGTTTTTGTATCTTTCTGAACAATATTTATTTAGTATTAAAAAATGTATATTCATGCACCTAATCAAAATATTGCAGCTTCTGATATAATTTAAGTAATTATATCAGAAGCTGTAATGTTTTACAGTTATTAGTAGTTTTATAAAATATTAATATACATTAAATAAAAGTAATTGGACAAATTTAATCATGTTTTATTATTGTTTAAATGTGATAAAATTTGTAAAATTAGTTTTAATTAATGAAATATATAATGACCAGGCAGATGTTGTTCTGCTCATTCCACAACGACCATGTGTCCTAAAAAAAATCTTTAAAATCACAATAAAAAAAATTGAGGGTCTCTTATCGGGATAAAAACTATCCTATCTCTCAAGTTGGACCAAACTGCACACATTGTGAAACATTTCAATGAAATCAGTTCATTAGTTTAGGAGTTCATCATGGACAAACAATGTGACACATAATTTTTATATATAAAGATATATATGTTTTGGTTAAGGTTTAGAATCATGTCGCCTTAATAGGGCAGGTGTAAAGGCTAGGCAGAGGGGTAGATTCGCCCCCAGCTTTTTCCCCCGTCGGACATGTCTATTTTTTATATTATCTGTTGAAGATTAAAATTTTTATTGAATGATTTTGCTTTATTTTTTTAAGCTCTGTTTTTTTCCGCTGAAGTAATACCAAAGTGTAGTCGATAGAAGCTAAGTAGGGCTCCTATTTCTGGATAGTCTATAAAAAATAACCAGAAAGAAGACTAAAGGCCGCCATCCCCTTCTAACCTAACCTGTCTGAGTCGGGTGCCCCAAGACCCGAGCTCGCTTCACTCCCTCTTGCACCAAACAAAACACTAAAATGTTAACTTACAAAATTACTTTAATAAGTAAACATATTTTATTACTTTCACCATTTCCAAAAACATCATAAAATAGCAAGCGATCGATATCCAGAGGGGTATCAAAGTTATTGGAATACAGGAGACAGATAACAACAATAAGGAGCACATAATACGGAAGCAACGGAATGATGCTTATGATGCGAGTCGCGAAGTAGAATATATCTGTCACTGTCAATGTGACAGATATACTGTCAGCTTAAAATACTTAAAAAAAGTAAGAATTAGTCATTTATGAATATTTTTAGAAAATGATTTTAAATATTTCAAAGCAGCTCCGGTAGCTAAAATTGCATGGGAGCGCTTGAGATAAGCCCCATTGACCCCCCCACAGTGACAGACTCCTCAAATTCAGGTGACTTGATTCTAAACGCAACCCTATGTTTTTGTTACACTAAATAGTGAGTGCTTTTCCGCACTTCTTACAAAATGTATGATGATGATCCACATGATGGGGGAAGTTCTACAGCCCCACAGAGATGTGAAAAGTCCAGCATAGTCCGAACTTGTGATGAGTCAAAAAAACGAATGCTTGATATATTAGTTTCTAATATTAGTTTTCAGACTATTTATATAATTCCTGAGTTTGAGGAATATAAACTATGCTACTCTGATAATGAGGCTGGCTCCTTCACAGTCCTTGTTGTTAGAATTAAATTATTTCTCAATTAAATTACTATTGCTACATTTTTTAAAGCTTACATGGTAAGTTGATGCATTGGCTTCTAGACATATACCTCTATCCTTGATTAGGAATCAGCATAAAAACAACATTAAGAGATTGAAAATGTCATAAGTTTTACCATAAGATAGTCTGGATAGTATTAAATCCTATTTCTTTCGTACTATAGATTTAATGTCATCATATGTCATTCAAAATGAGAGTTGGAACTACCCCTCCAACATCCAACCAATGGACGTGCTTTGATAACTGATCCTACTTCCTGAAATGATAATCTAATAGAATTTCTCATTTATTCCCTTATTATTTAATATATCTGAGTTCATTGAAGATTTACCAAACAAAGTCATAACTTCAAGAATTTCTTATTGAATTAATTTCAAAGATTGAAAATTCTTTAATAGAACTGTAGGAAAAGGTTAAGTAAGAAATCTCAAATATGAGTTGAAGTGGTGGTATACAAATAACACAGATTCGTATCTTTCAATCGCGTTAACATATACTTTTTCAAAAATAATGGGGCATCTCATTAAAAACCGCATATTATGTGATAATGGCAGAGTTGGTGCTGTAGTTTGGATCCTTGAATACAAAAACTATTTACAGTTTTATATGTCCTCCTAACTACCAAGTTTATTCAGTAGAATCAATTAATCTTCCCAAAAGCAGATTCCTGTGCAGGATCCGATAACATAAATAAATGTTTGATTCTATGTGATACACAAAGTTTACACATTTTTATCACTGTAAAAATAAGATAAGTTTGGTTGATGTTATTCTTGCTTTGATTTATGGTTATTTTGGTTACAAAGGCACTGTGACTACAGACCAACTTGCAATAAGGGCTGCATGTAACCAAAGAACTTTCCTTTCGTTATTCTGGAAGCTTGCCATATGTTATTCTAATAATCCATCATGTGTAATTTATCTGCAACACATATGTCCAAGCAAAATGTATATGTATCATATAACCATAACATAAAGCTTCCAAATTAATGATCAAGGTCTCTCTTTGCGAGTGTGGTATGTAGGGTATCATGGGGCACTTTATTATTTATAATATGTTAGGGTCCCTAATACTTGTTCCATCTCTAACTTGGGATGAAACAAGTATTACAAATTATGAACTAACAACTAGTCAGTTTGGGAAGCGGTGAAGATTTCTGGCTTAATATAAGAATCATTCTTACATATTATATAAAAACACTGAGAATAAAATTACTATAATTAGATGTACTTACTGTAATTTTATTAAAGCTACTGTTATTTATGATTTTTGTATTAACTCCTTTTTTTACTAATAAGTTTGGAACTTCTGAAATATAATATTATGGTGTTCTAAGATAAAAGGATTTATTGTTTATCTATAGAAATAATATTTAAATAAAACAAATAATTTTAAAATGACAAAACACAATCATACATATTATATCATTTGATTAAATCGTATAAATACTTGGCATGTATTATTTCTGTTGTGCTTTTGCAAAGTGAGTACTTAGAAAGTGAAATTTGGTTATAGTGCCTTTTTCTATAATGTTCTGTTTCTCTTATAGTGACTTACATTGCGAAAATGAGCAAGCTGTGCAGACAAGTCTCTATCGAATCGCCTGGACCTACACTTAAAGAATGCGTATTCAGTTTCGATGTGCCTGTGCCAGATGTTCCCATGTATGGTGCCAGAATCAGAGTGGTATATGCAGGAGCTTGCTATCGCGCCAATCGCACACGTTCTGCTTCAGTCTGTAGCACGTCTTCCGTTTCGTCAATCAGCAGCCTTACTGGTGAAATGGAGAGCTTCGGAATTCACGGTTCCACTCCTGCACACATTGGCTTGCGAGATGGAGCCTTGTTTCCTGGTTACGAAGTTGCGGGTGTTGTAGATGCAATAGGTAAAGCGGCTGAATGCATAGATGGCATTAGTGAAGGAACAAGGATAGTTTTATATCCTTATGAAGGCGTGCCACATGGATATGCAGAATACATAGTTGTGCCTGATTTCAAATGTTTGGTACCCATTCCTGATAACCTCCCTCTGAGTGTCGCCGCCATGCTTCCCACGGGTGCTTTGTTAGCCACTAACACTGTGCAAACAGCTAGTGAATGCTTAAAGACTATCTTAGAAGGGCCAAATCAAAAAGAAAAGGCAAAAATTTTAATTGTTGGCACTGGTGGTCTGGCATTATGGGCATTGCGCATTGCAACGCACAATTTTAGACAGAGCAAATATCATGACCGGATCCATATTGCAGTAGCAAAGCTCAAAGATGAAGGCTTCATTCTAGCCAAAGAAAGCGACGAGTAAGTATGTTGATTATTTGATAAATACAATGTTGATATTTCATATAGTAGCCAACCTTTGCTTACTCTGCAATCTTTCAACATCCTGCTGCTAACAATAAATTTCTATAAAGTCAGCATCCCCAGACTTAGTAGTACGAAACTCCAAAATTATATCAAAATTACGAGAAATGACATGTTGCAGTTTGTTTAAAATTTTTGTTAGATTTTACACACATCAGCAGTTCATCATAATGTAACAGTTTTAATACACTTTAAAATATTTTAGTTCTTTTATTGTTTCATACTAATATGCAACAATATACAAAGTTTTGTTCTTTTATATATTAACTAATATATTTTGTAGGATACTTATAGTAACTTTATAATAAAAAGTAAACTCGTTATGTTCCTGTACATACAGCTATTATCTACAATTTGTCAACTCCAATTTAGAATTTGACACCATTTTGAACAGAATAAACTTTTCTATTCATTATAGATTACAAGTCATTATTATTGAAAGTATTTTTACTTCTACCTTTAGTTCGGAAAATCCTCTGTCCTGGGAAGAACCAGCAAGAAACCCAGCGGAAGTTTTTTTTTTCAAATTATATAAGTACATATACAATAAGAACACAGGTACTACAACTATTTACTTAAAAACTTAATTAGAAAACAGCTTAGAAGAGACCACGTCATTCCTAGGAGTTGTTATCAACCATAATATGGTTATTTTATTAAATTATATTAATTTATAATAATAATCCTTTTTATACAGTTTTTTTTAAATTAAAATATTTAAACTTGGTAATAGAGAGAACTTGTATATTTTATTGGGATATATTGCTGTAATAGGGTATACATTGCCCCATTAATGAATTACTGACTCTGTGGGAATCGAGAAACTTTGTATATTAGTATGAAATTATTATATAGTAAAAAATAATTTCCCGGTAAATATTAAATATATATATGTATATACATAAAATTTGTTATAATTTTGACAACAAAGTATATACTTTTATCGCAACCACATTATACTAACATACAATGGGAATATCCCGTCAATATAATTTTGTAAGTAGTAATGTTTAAAAATAAGTAAACTCAAGATTATCAAATATATTTACATGAAGTTATGATTATAAGTCTCAATTAAGTTTATACTTTTATTTTAACGTGATATGAAAATGATGAATTAATACAGCAATTTTATCTCAAGAGAAGTATATTTTAAAATAGTAATTTTAAAATGTCATGTCAATATAATCTGGTAACACTATAACGTACTAAATATTATATTGTTATACTTATAATGTTAACATTATTTACGATATATTCTTATACAGAATTATACAATAATACTATGTATACTACTGTAATATGTACCTAGGAGTAATACGCAGAACCCAAAACAGTTCTAATTGTGGAATTATAATCCGTAACAGGATAAGCGTGGTGCAATGGAGCGAAGATCTTTATGAACGTCAATTAATCGAGCGTACAATGGATGCCTGCGGAGGTCCAGTCGACATAGTGTTAAACTTCGGCACAACCTCGCGTTCCCTGCACCGTTCACTGCAATGCCTCGCCCCGGTATGTGCCTCAAAGAAAGTATCTCGTACACCGTGCCTGGGCGATAGACTCTTACTTAAACACCAGCCCGACACCTGACCGACGATTTTATAGTAGACTTCGACTGGTGTTTTATGATGAAGCCCCATTCCTATTATTCCCACGTACCGTTGTCTCCCATTGTCCCATTCCACGATATTGTTTGCAACTGGTTTAATGACTGCATGTTATCGCAAAAATTTCATTAATAATCTTTATAGACATCTATAAACGAAACAACTGCTTATGAAGTTGGTTTTCTATGACGCATAATAATCTAAAAAGGGATCAAAAAGTCAAAAACAAGAGAAGCAAGAAGCATCTGACATGAACATTTAGGTCTCATGAGTTTTGTACTTATTGGGTGGGTATCCCATTATTTGATAGAAGATGAAATACGTGGTAGTGTCACGCTGCAGCTATATTATGGTTGTAACACGAATACGTCGGCTCGACCGGGGTAAGACACTCGCAAGATACAATCAAGATAAAATAGCAGCTTAATGCTACTGTTTCCTATCGTGAGTGTAGAGAACCAGAGAACCTTTTAACTGGAAACGAGGCATTCTATCTTAGTCCTCAGGGGTGACAACACATCTGCATTTTAATCCTTAATCGAGGATAAATGGAGACCATTTTTACTGGAAACGAGGCATACCATCTTAGTACGACAACGCATCTGAGATTTAATTCTTAATAAAAATGTTATATGTATGTCTTTAAATATAAATGTAGATGTCTATGGGCAGGGTTGGAAAAAAAACAGTTTTTTTTAAAAAAGAACAAAACATCATGTTTAAATAAAAAAACAAAAAAAAAAAACACGTTTTAAATCAATTTTTCATAAATGTTTTATTTGAAATGTTTTTTAAAACTTTTTTTAAGACTTAAAAAATGGATTGTTTTGCGATTGGGATAAATAAGCGGAAGGTAGAAATTAAAAGAAACGATAAAATATGAAACAAGTTTTTTATTGTAAAACAATACACCAGAACAAAAACAGTACTTATTTCTTCAACAAAAAATGAATAAATAATCAACTCTGTCTGACCTGACAGTGACAATTATTGACATAGACATATGAGGTAGGTAGATCTAGAATCTAGATCCTATCAAATCAATCATATTCATTACGTTTTGTTTGTTATTGATTGAGTAGGTACTTATATTGATTGTATGATAATGATAAAACTGTTCATTCCTCGACCTCGTCCTCGTCCTTGTCCACGTATGATGAGCCTCTGCTGCCTGGATTGAGCGCCCTCATTACTGTAACCAATTTTGCTGCTTTCTCGGTGCCAAGTCTGTTTCGTAATTTAGAGTGCACCAGCCCAAAAGTCGAAAATAATCTTACGATTCCGGCAGAAGACGCAGTGGCTGTATATAACTGATTTGTGAGATCTATCATTCCCTATTTTACTTCCCAGCGATCTCTACCACACTGACACATGAGTTCTTTTTAAAAGATCTTCCTTAAACATGTAGTCTTTAAATTGAAAACTCATCACACGGTACGTGAGGACATCTTTCATTGCCTGCGGATAGCTTAAATCTATGAACTCCATACCCATTGTGTCTTCTTCTTCATCTAGTCCTTCACCTCTATATTTGGGGTCTAATATATGAGCGGCAAAATGTGCAGGTGTCATTGCAGCGTTATATCTTGCTTTCAGCTTGTTGGCTTCTTCTAGCAACCAGTTCGACGAGAGTAGGCCCTTCCATAAATGTGTATAATCGCTTAGGACACACATTTGCTTCTGTACATAATCAAGAGCAATTGATATTTTTTTAAGTTTTCTAAGATAGTTCTCAACATTTTCTTTTAGTTCAACATCTTGAATATCCCTTGTTCGACCGGTGTTCGCTGCATACTTTAGCAAGACTGCCAATTACTGACATATGACTCGAGACAGTCTGCTAATGTATTCCAACGCACATCTTGAGGTAGTATAAGCGCCTTTCCACCAGCTTCCCTGTACTTTGCTCCAGGAAAATGATGATACTTGAAGTACTTTATAATTTTTTTTATCTTACTTTTAATGTCCACTTGTTCAATGTCTTTGGCGAATAAATTCAATAAATGAGCAGAGCAACCATATGTGATAATATCGCCTATGTTACTATCTTCCAACTCCGTCAATTGTCTTCTCATCTTTGCTATATTGGCAGCGTTATCTGTTACAAAGCTACGCACATGGCAACCAAATCTTTGACACTTTTTAATGCTGTCGACTGCCAGAGTCAAAAGATAATCACCAGTGTGACTTTTGTCAGTAGTATCTATTGTATCTATGAGAAAAACTTTACCATCATCCTCAGTATCAGTAGTGGTTACACTAACACACACAATAGGTTCATTGCGTATATTACTCCAACCATCCAGTGCCATACAAACCACTTTTCCTTTCAAATTGTTTTCCATATTTGATTTTACGGTACCATACACTTCGTCTAGCAAATTTCCGCCAATTTTTTTTTCTTTTAGGTGGTACATAGCCTGGTCGAGCTAATTGCATCAAACTGACAAATTCTGGATGCTCAGAGTGTCGGAATGCAGTGTTCGTTGCATAAAAGTATCTGGCAACTTGTAAATCTATTTTATGCTTTTCCTGTTCTGATGTTTTCACTACATATTGTGACATCGACATTATTGAGCAACTTGACGACGCTGATGAGTCCTGCCTCGGTTTTTTGTTAATAGGCTCAACATTGGTCTGGATTCCATCTGCCTCACTGTCTGTGAAAAAAAAAAACTGTGTACAATATATATATTTACACACAAAAAGTGTAACTAACTAAGTATTTAGGTAAAAAATAAATTTCAGGAAGATTAAATTTGAATAAGGATATATTTGCACCTGTTTAATGGTACATTTCAAAATAAAGCTAAAAAATGTATAAATAAAAATAGTGAGATCAATTATAAACGGCGCACATTTATATACAATATTAGTGGGTACCCGCGACTTCGTCTGCGTGGAAAAACTGGCTCCCCATACAAACTTTCATCCCCCTTTCATTTCACCCCCTTCAGTATGATTTCTGGCATAATAAGTTATCATAGTTATTATTAATAACTATACTATGTCCTTTCAATTTGACCAAGGGACAGATATACAGAATAACATTGCGTTTGAAATGTATATACTTTAAGTTGGTATTAGATATCTACAAAGCAACAAACATTATATAAAAAATACTAGTATTTACTTACCATCCTCACTTGAACTTGAATCATTGTGGATTTGGATTCTTGCTGTCGAAGTCGATGGGCTTGACTTTTTAGCCGCATAATCTGAACAATTTGTTAGATGTGCCCTCATTCGGGCGATTAACCCTACAAAGTCTTTCCCGCAATACTTGCACTTCACCCTGAGTGTTTTTGCACCACCCCCTGTTGTAGATGCAGGCAGTTCTGTGAAGTACTGCCAAAGCGAATCCTTTTTTCGTCCTGTAGACATTCTTTCTTTTGGAAGGGCAGGCAGGCAGAATGCAGATCCAGAGTATTCCAGATTGATAATAAATCAAACAAATAAATAGTAAACGAACGAAACTAAATCAAATTATCTATCACTTACTAGTCATTACAGTCTCACTGAATAATCTACAATGACAATAAGAAAAATACCGCAGTACAATACAAGCGGAGCGAACTATCTTCATCCCTTTCCCATTTACTCAGAGTAGAAAAATACCTTACTCATTCGCTCATTGTAGTCTGCTGGGGTAATCCCCGTCAGCCGCGAGCTAGAATTGCCATCACAATTTACAATATACCTTAAAATTATAATGTTGCCAATAAAAAGTTTTAAAAAGTACGAAAAAAATAGGATTAATTATAATGTTGTAAAACTTAACGTTTTTTCATATATGTTTTAAACGTGTTTAAAACAAAATGTTTTAAAACGTGTTTTAAACAAGTATATATTTTTTCCAGTGTTTTAAACACTTGCTTTAAACAAACGTTTTAAACATTGTCAACCCTGTCTATGGGCCACAGCATCCACTTACCATCAGGTAGACTGTGCTCGTTTGTCACCCTTATTCTATAAAAAAACCGCTGTAGCATGGATGAAGTTTGGCTGCAGGTATGTCATGTAATCTATCTATCGGCAAACTGAAAAGGCCGAATGGCTCGCAGACAGTTTAGAGAAATAATATAGCTCTAGTGAGCCTATAGGTCCCGGTCACCTTGCAGAGGTCGATGCGGAGGTCGAGCAGAAGTCTGCACTACCATCTGCGGGTGAACCCTTAGATCCTCAGAAATCCTTAGAAATCCGCACCCGGCTGCGATGGCATTAGCAACGGGGTACTGAAATCACTCCCCTTCCTTCTTCCAGCTGCTCCTTCCCGGATGCCTGGAAAGAGGCAGACGTAATAGGAATCTCGAAACTGGGTAAATCGTGCAACTTAGCCTCTGGTTACAGACCGATCAGTCTTCAGCACACTGGCGAAAATTTACGAGTGACTCGTATTGAATCGCCTTCGTAAACACGTCTTCGCTAAACAAGCTTCTCCCAGACGAGCAGTTCGGCTATAGATCCGAAGACTCGTACACAAACCAATTACATCTCCTTACATGGTACATTCTGAAAGGCTTCAACCTCCCAAAAAGAGGCCATAGACCACTAGCACTGGCGCCTTCTTCTATTCTATCTATTCGCAAAAGCGTTCGACAAGGTATGGTACGACGGCTTGCTGTACAAGCTGAACAAAGTCAACGTGCCTGATAGGTTCACTCACACCACCAGAGCCTTTCTTGCCAATCGCTACTTCCGTTATCGAATAGAGGGAACCCGCTCTACAAAGCGCCTCCTCAAGGCTGGAGTCCATCAGGGCTCTGTTCTTTCCCCACTCCTCTTTAAACTCTTCACGAGTGACATCCCTAAAGACCTAGTAGTTAATACTGGGCTTTTTGCCGATGACACGGCACTTTTCGTAGCCCACCATAACAAAAGAGTTCTCACCCAGATGCTCCAAACAGCCGTCAACCGCTTAGGCGGTTGGTTCCGCTTATGGAAAATCGAAGTGAATCCTGAGAAAAGTGTAACAATGTAGTATCAAATGAACCCTTCGCTCCATCGTCAAACAAATCCCAATAAAATGTTAAGTACGATAACTCTATTCGCTTGCCAGAACCCTGGCTATCAACGTAGGGGTCATATTCGACCACGGTATGACCTTCGCGAAACACATTCTCAATGTCTCCAACCGTGCCAAATTTGTTACTAGACCCCTCCACCCGCTAGTTAACAGCAAGCGCAAACTGTCCTTAAGACACAAGCTCCATCTTATAAAACGTGAGTAAGACCTATCATGTCTTACGCAAGCGTAGTTTTCGCGCACGCGACTCACAGAAATTCGTACGACCTCCAAGTCGTTGAAAATAGATTAATTCGCATAGCCACAGGCGCTCGGTGGTACCAGCGAAACTCCGACTTGCACAGAGACTGTCAACTAGAGACGAAATGTCTCGGAGCTATTTTGAGAGGGCCGAGACACATCTCAACCCGCTAGTGGCAAACGCAGCCAGCTACGCTCCGACTCCTAACGTTACGGAAACCCGTTCGGAACCCCCCCCCCCACCCCACCCCTCCCCTGTCAGAGCCGGGGTCCGCCACTGTTCGGACGGCCGTTATATATCATCTACGTGTACTGTACACTGTCCTAGAAGTCAGTGTAATATAAATTCACCCTTTTAAGGCCGCGAGCCCCGAGACCAATGAAGCTGTGGAAACTAAAAAGGCTAACAGCATTAACATTATCAGAAACCAGAGATCGGCAAGGTCTTACCCTACTACCTAAACTGTATAATAGTCGAAGTAATTAGCATTGTTTAATACTACGATTTATTCAAAGCCAATCCATAGGAGATTTTTTCAAAGAAAATTAAATTTCAATTAACATCAAAACAATGGTTAGAAGGTTTTTAAAAAAGAAGAAGGGTTTTAATTGAGTACAAAGTCCACCTGATGGTACCTGAATGCTGTGGGCCATAGGCTCCTATCCTCGATTGAGTAATTTGATATCGCTGTATTCATTTTCCTATTAATTAAACAAAGAAATACAATAAAATAAAACATATTAGATGTAGGACCTATTTGAATTTAGTTTGTGATGTGTCTTGAAACACAGTGTGCTGTGCCTATATAGCTGAATGTGTTCTTAAATTCTCATTATTTCATTTGTTATTGTCTCAGGGTGGAATGGTACTCGTGACTGAAGACGTTGGCGAGAAGTTGATGCCCAAATTTGCAAAGAAAGCTGAAGAAATGAACGTACACATAGTTGTAGTCCCGAATGGGTCAATCGAGCAGTTAAAGGAGTTGGTACAGCTGGTCGCCAGCGGCGTTGTAAGTAGATTATGAATATGCTTCTTTTCAAATAAAAAAAAATATAATAATACAAATATGCCTGCGTTTCTTACAAATGCGTGTTTGTTTAGAAATACTACTTGACTACCAAATTGAGGACCTTGAGTTAGAATCCACCTTAGTGTCAAAGTCTGTGCAAAAAGCACGTGATAGCACCGTGCTCGTTTTGTGAAAACAAACGTCACAAATGTACAAACAATATACGTTTGTCCACCATCACGTCGACCTATTGCCATCAATCTAAATAGCAAGTATCATTGCATGAATGAATTCTTAACGAGTATTTAATATTTTTTATTGTTTGAAATGACGTGGAAACAGAGCGAATAATATTATGTCGTTAGATTCCCGACGTCGAAGCAACAATAGAGTTTGCATAAACGATGGAGTAATGACACATGGTTGTTTGCCTGACGCACTTCGCAATTTTTAATGACTGATTTCAATTGGTATTCGATTATCAGTACTGAGACTTTGAGACTTACACACACACGCACAAAAACTCACGCCTGTCACCCAGAGGGGTAGGCAGAGACTACGGACTTCCATTTGGCGCGATCCTGACACACCTCTCTCGCCTCCTTTACATCATTATATCTACGCATACATGCTCATCGGTTAAGGGTACTCCTAATCTGGCCCATTTTTAATGTATCGCTGATTTGGTCGATAAACTTTCGTCTAGGGCGTCCCTTCCCGATCCTGCCGTTCACTTTTGCAACATAAATTTGCTTTGTCACTCTTTCCTCGTTCATTCTTTCTACATGACCAAACCACCGAAGCATTCCTTTCTTAATCCTTGTCACAACGTCATCTTGCAAACCACACTTTTCTCTTATCACACTATTTCTCACCCTTTTATTCAGATTCAGATTCAGCTTCAGATTCATTAGAGACTTCAATTATTAGTCAGTGCTTTACCCAGATATTTTGAGCGGACGAAGGAGTGGAACAGGTCCGCCACGTTGCACTAGTCAGGCTTTTACTTTTTCTGCAGTTGGATAGGTTTAGTTACTCTTGTTATAAAGGCTTTCTCAAAGTCCACATACTCAAGCCATTCTTCTGTACAATTTGTCGAAAAGTATGTATGTGGTCTATGGTACTAAAGCCTTTTCTGAATCCGGGTTACTTCGACAGTTGGGTCTTTCTGGTAGACAGATCTCTGGCAAAGACCCTTGGTTCCGCTCAATGTATTGAAGTTGTCTAAGTCCCACCGCATGTATTTGGAGATCTGTCTGTTCAGTTGCCTGTATGCTATCATATCTGCTGAAGACAGCAGCTTCATTTTCCGTCTAAGTCATGAGAATAAGCGTGTGATCCGAGAGTAACTTAGCTCCGACCACATGGGCAGTTTCTACGAGCTTGTCATTCATATCATCCACTGTATTGCAGTCTTCTAGGCACTGAAGACGATTTTGTAACTGCTGCTGAAAGATTTCGGGGCTTTGGATTAGAGTACGAGGGGGGGATGGCGAGGGTTGCAAAGAAACGGCCCATAGTCCCCGGCGGCCCTAAGCTAAGACTAAGGCTAAGACGTGCCCTATTTATTAGCGGATATTTATTTTTAATTCAGTCCTAGGATTATATTTGGTACTTACGCGGCTTTTGAGAAAATACAGTCTACACAAAATCAAATACAGTGGGTGCAAATCTTGGCTTCGTGGCGGTCACCTAATGTATATACATACCCTTAGAGAAATAATCTTTCTGGGGAACATTTCCCGAACCACATACAGGTCTCATCTCATCAATAGCGCCGTCTGGTTCAAACCATGTCCTATTTTTATATGTAGCATAATATTGAAATTGTTCTGTTAAAAAGCTCTTAAAATTGCCACAAACCGTGCAGAGTTAACAGTCACTGCTCTGTCTTATAATGCTACGTTTTTTATTACATATGTTTTTAAAATTATATAATTTTGTTGCCAGTGCAATAATAATAACTTTTTACTCCAGATCGAACCACCGCCTCATTCAGTATTCCCCGCCGAGGAAGCGCAGGAGGTCGTTAGGAAGCTGTGCAATTCGGAAATCAATGGGCGGGCCATCTTGAAGTTCCAGAACATTGACTAAACCCAAACTGATTTTATGCAAGTATTATTTAGTAGTAACGACCAAAAAATTGTTTTAGAGATTGATACATACATTGATATATGGTTTCAATAATCTATATACATAAAAATATTTGTAATCGTTCATATCGGTTCAGAAATCAAAACAAATAGAAACTAATTAAACATGCTCGTAAAAGTTATTGAAATTATTATTTTAAAAATTAATCAGATATATACAGTAGGGAAATAAGCGATTACAAATGTTATCTATAGAGGTTATCTACCTATTACAACAATAAGAATATCGATGTTTTACTATGGAATATTTTTATGCCTATAACTTTCAAATAACACACAATCAGTATCAGTATTGTTTACTGTATAAACATTTACCCTAGATAGTTATTTTTGTATTGATTACTCTAGATATAGTTTACATCGGGTACAATATTAAAATTGTTTGGTAGTCCGTAATAAAAGTATATTTCCGTGTCAAAAGTATTTTCTGTTTCTACTTTATAATGTTCAATGTCATTGGATATTTAAACATATCTCCTCTGTTCTACAGAATTAACAAAGTTTTCAAGAGTCATGTAACCCAAAAAAGATGAGCAAAATTTTTAACTCGCAGTAATTTATTATATAAGTAGTACCTATTTAGAAGTTCGCTTTTAACTACTCTTTTCAACATACATTGTGTATGATTAGTTTTTTTAGCTCCAGTAACGAAGATCGCCTTGTGGTTTGATGATACAGCTGATGATAAGAAAATGTGTGTATTTTCTTATAAAACATCATACGTATTTCGGGTTTAATGTAAAATCTACAATTGATTAAGAACATAGTTTTTTATGATTATTAGTTAAATTGTTGTCAATATATGTATGTACGGGTGTTCGCGGATATCAGTTTTTCAAATAAGGATATTGTCAACGTCAGAGTTCGTTCTGTGTTATATTAGAAAAAGAGCAAAAATTATATCTGTTAATATAGAACGATGTTGGGGAAAATGCTTGCAGTGAAATTGTTATAATATTCTTTGAGGTACATTTCGAAAACTTTAATATACTAGTTTTAAGCAAAATAAACATTAGTCATTTTGTGGCAAGAAGTATAAACAATACTATAGTTAAAAATACCGAATTTTAAAGAACACATCATATTTTTAAAATACTGAAATGTAAGCAGAATAGAATATGACCTAACATAAAAAAATATGCACAAAAACTTAAAGATTATTATAAAGAAAAAAGAAGAAAACACTTTTCAAACTTCTTTTCAATTTCTGATTTTAAAGCATATAATTGAATATTTTCATTTTTTCCTTAAAAATAATCATATTAAACATGTATTAAACTGTATTACTATTATGTCTAGTCATATTATTGTTTAAAAAAAGTTAAAAATTGTCAAATATTTTTAAGTGATTATGATTAGGTTTGCCGATATCAAGTGATTTAGATTAGGTATGTCACAAATACTGACCGATATTACTCTAAAATAAAGTATAGTTTGGAAAATCCAAACGTGCACGCCTCATGAATGTTTAATTTAATTTTGATAAAAAAATTGTATCCCTGACTTTTAAAATATATTATTTACGTGTTTTGAATTTATCGCTAATAATTTAGATTTTGTTTTATTTTAACAGGTAGTATCACATATATAGAAAATAATTATAATGTTTACCAAAATAAATCGATTACATAAAGTATAAAATCGATATAGGCTGTATGGTACATTTGCCCTTTGTCTATCGAGGGCTAAAAAAATATATGAAAGCGCCTTTAAATTTTTAATAGCAATAAAACTTATACAAGTTGAAAATCATCTTATTAACAAACTACGCGTACTAGGTTATTGATATGAAATATAGAAACGCTTGATGTAATTCTGAAGCTAATAAAAAATCCGGTCTTAATACGTCATTTTTCCTGGAGTTATCGTGACATCATCCGGACGGCCACGTAATATTTTTTGAAACTTTTTTTCAAAGTATGAATAAAAAAATATTTTTTTTTAAACTATAAGATGTTTATAAGCGTTTTCTTGATAAACGGCTACTCATATTATCGTATAAGTGCAATATGGTTATGATGGAGGCATTCTAAGAACACAAAATTGCTTGACATTGACGTGTCGAGAGTAAAGCATTACCATGAAGTCAATACCTTGTAAGTCAATACGCTTCGCGTTATGAGGCGTGCAATCTTGAAAGATATTTTTGCTACCAAATATCTATTATCATAAAAGAAATTTAAAATTCCGCCTTTATTCCTAAAACTTAAATGCAGTTTGTATAGTTCAGGTTGGCAAACCTAATTCTTTTAAATTTTGTAATAGTGATAGTCACAATAATTATACTCCATGTAAGGACTACTACATTTTTGTACTCATCGTGTATTGCTGATATTTTGTTATATTGTACTTGAATAAAGTGACCTATGTAATGATTGTTTATATTTCTTTTTTATTATTTCACCATTATTTTAGCCAACTATTTTATTACCTAAAGTAACGTCGGCAAGGCTATTAGATATGGAGATCTATATTTTATGCAGAATATAAAGTCCCTAAAGTTTATCCACAGAAAACTAAATTATTCATCACCAAATTCCAATAATTTTAGCTTCTGTACAAAATAAGGACCTCAGTATATAACACAAACTTTTGTTTAAGAGTTAAGTGTTTTCATATGGACGGGATCGCACTCTGTTTGAGTTGAAATCAGTTGTAACCAGCTCACCTTGACTGCTTCTTTCCGAAATGTATCACCGGAATACACCGACCGCCTTCAGTTGTTGGGGGTTGTGATATCCTCAAACCTGAACTTCGGGTGGTTCATTGGGTCCAAGGCGAAAGTAGCTGTAAGGAAGCTGAAGTCCTTGCAAAGGTGCGGCGGTACTTCACGCCGGGACTGCTGCTTACTCTATATAAAACGCAAGTTCGATCGTGCATGGATTGCTGCTGGGCTGGTGCTGCAAAGTGCTACCTAGCAGCTTTGGACCTTAGACCATTCAACCCTATGGACTCACCTCGCATGATAGTTCCCCTCTGCCAACATTTTTTTGTCATTGGCGTACTTATTTATAAAGGACTGCAAACTTTGCCAACACTTATTTCTAAAAGAGTAGGATGCGACGGCATTCCTCCTTTATTTTGGCGTAACTGTGCTAAAACTTTATGTATTCGTATCGCCATCATTTTTTATATGTCTCTAGGCGAAGGTGTATTTCCGGATATCTCGAAAAAAGCACACATTGTTCCTGTAGATAAAAAGGGAACTAAAACTAAAATTATAGGGGCATTTTAAATACTTATAGCAAATTTTTTGAGAAAACGCCTATGATGTTATAAATCCCGTAATATGTAAGGAACTCGACACGGATTTCTAAGTGGTCGTTCTACTATCACTAATCTGGCGTGCTTTTCTAACTATGTTTTATCTAATATGGATGGAGGCGGTCAGGTAGACGTGGTCTACAAAGACTTCAAAAAAGCTTTCGACCGTGTGGACCACGTCATCTTACTGAATAAACTACAATTGTTAGGCATACATGGGGATTTACTCAGGTGGATTAAATCCTATTTGAGTAACAGGTTTCAGGTTGTTGTAATACGAGGGTGGATTGAAAAGTACTCGGCCTAACCAAGAAAATAAACAAATACTAAATCAGTTATATTTTTATTTTTCTACATAATCACCATCAAGTTCAATACACTTTTGCCACCTCCCCTTCCAAGCATTTAGACCGTTGAAAAAAAATGATTCTTCCTTAGAGTCAAAATATGCGTCTACAGCTGCTTTGACCTCGTCGTTTGTCGAAAATCTTTGACCTCCCAAGTGCTTTTTTAGGTTAGGGAACAGAAAGAAGTCTGATGATGCCAGATCAGGTGAATACGGCGGATGCGGTAACAGTTCAAAGCCACAGTTGTGAATTTCAGCCATTGACTGTACTGACGTGTGAACACGGGCGTTATCTTGACGAAACAGGACTTTTCTTCTGAGCATTCCTCGACGTTTTTCTTTTATTTCCTCTCGTAAACGACGTAGTAAGGTGCAGTAGTAATCAGAGTTTATATTCTGACCCCTTTCAAGATAATCAATCATAATCACACCTTTCGAGTCCCAGAATACTGAAGCCATCACCTTATTTGCCGACAAAATCGACTTAGCCTTTTTAGGGGGTGGTGAACCAGGTCTTCTCCACTGTTTTGATTGTTGTTTTGTTTCCGGTGTACAGTAATGAACCCATGTTTCGTCCATAGTAACAAAACGATTCAAAAAATCATCTGCATCGGCTTCAAATAACTCCAAACAGTCGCGTGAAATAGTCAATCGCGTCCTTTTTTGTTCAACTGAAAGCAGTCGCGGAACCCACCTCGCAGACACCTTGTGGAAACCCAACTCGTTGACAATGATGTTTTGAGTTCGTTCATAAGAGATGCCTCTAATTTTTAATCTGCGGTCTCCCATTATTAAATCAAGTACTTTTTTAATATTTTCGTCAGTAGTTGACGTCGAAGGCCTTCCAGAGCGGGGTTCATCTTTCACACTCTCTCTACCACGCTTAAATTCTGCTATCCAGTTTTTGACGGATGAATATGACAGAGCACAATCGCCTAATGTACTGACCATGTCATCATGGATGGCTTTTGATGATAGCCCCTTCTTATGGAGGTACTTAATGACGGCACGCTGCTCGATTTGCTCCATTCGCGGAAATTATGTCCGATTACTTTGTTAATAAATTTATAAAATCACAACTAATTATCGCACACGTTTCGAACTTCACACAATGAACTAGTCTGAACTGAACTAAATAATGTGGGTAGATTTGATTTTTAGAATTGAATGGATCTGTGTTAGGCCGAGTACTTTTCAATCCACTCTCGTATATGGCTATAGATCGGACTTTACCGAAATACCAACAGGCATTCCTCAAGGATCACGTCTAGGATCTTTGCTGTATAACGCCTATATCCACGATATTACTTGTTTTAAGTTTTCACATTTAA